GTGTGTGTGTGTGTGTGTGTGTGTGTGAGACAGACTCATAACACAGTGTGCCACAGTTTCACCTGCGAGAGAGAGAGAGAGAGAAAGAGAGAGAGAAAACAAGGAGCCACATTTCCCTTTTTCCTCTCTCTCTCTCCTCCACTCTGCTTTCCTCTCTGCATGTAAAGTCATACCTGCCCCTTCCTTCATTGTTCTGCCGAGGGTGTGTCTGGGGAATAGAGACGGGGAGGTGAACAGAACTTGATTGTTGAGGCCTTTCAATAGAAAGTGAGAGAAAAGAGAGGGAGGGTGGGGGGGGCCGAGAAGTGTGGCGGGGGGCTTGATGAAGTCCACGCTGCAAATAGCTGTGACTTTGTGTGGGACTTGGCTCTTCGGAGGGAGGCGTAAGGGTCAAGTTAAAAACTGAATGTTTTTATTGTTCTCTCATGGTGATATTAATAGAAGCAACAGCACCAACGTTTGCACTTGTTTTTTGTGTGTATTTTTTCTCTCCACCCACTCCCATTAAATGACCCTCGTGACTTTTAAGCTCCCTCCTGTAAAAACAAAAGAAGGAGAAGAAATTGGAGATGTAAAGAGTCATAGTGGCTTACAAAGCTGTGTGAGGTTGCTCAATGCGCCCCTATTACAGTAGACATTTGGATTAGTCACAGGAGGAAATGTCTACAGTGGAGTTCCAGTAAATACTTTTCATTTATACCTGTGCTCTTCCTTCTGTGACATGTCATAATGCATTCTTATTTCTAATAAAGGCTGATTATTTCAGGAGAAGCCCCTCCATAAATTTTTATCTCTGCTCTTTGTCCCAGAATGTAATGGAGCAGTTCAACCCAGGCCTGAGGAGCCTGGTCACCCTCGGGAAGAACTATGAGAAATCCGTCACAGGTAATCAAAGTTTTCACCCCTCTAAACTTTTTAAACTCATTTTTAACCAGCGGGCAACTTGACGATGTTTGTGTTTCTCCCTCTCGCAGCGATGACTCTTTCCGGAAAGGTCTACTTTGAAGCAGTGTCAAAGATCGGGGAGAATGCCATGGTGTCGCCAGTCTCCAGAGAACTTGGTGAGTGTCCAGGTCAAATCTACCGACAGTGAGAGAAATCCAAACTGTATCGTCTGAAAAAGTTACGTCACATGACATCACAGTGATGCAGATCAGTCAGAACTACTGATGCGGGCTGCCAGAACTTTACAGGCAGCAGAGCTTGTTTTACCACAAACTTACAGCTTTTTAACATTGCAGAACTTTTATATTCACCAACAACTTAAAACAAGAGAACAATTTTTTTTTTAAAAAGAATAATTTGACATTTTGTATCTTCTCAAGGGTTGGATAAGACAAAAAAAACACCAATCTGTAGAGAGCAACAAATCTCTTGACTAATTTGAAGGTTAAACTCGACAAGACTCCCAGAAGTCACTGCTCACGGCCAATTATCTCTTGTAAAACTACTGCAGGTCGATTCATACAAACGACACAATAACTCAGTTAATTAGTGAGATTTTTTAGGTGCTGGTCGGTAAAGTTTGTTGACGTAGGACTGACCCAGGTGAGCTGTTCCCACCTATGGTGCGTTCACATGGAACAAAAAGGGAATTTCCGCCAGGGCACGGTCACAAACACGTATGTGAAGCGAATGCCGTTGGTCAAAGTTCACCAAAGTTGAACTCAAACATGTTTCCTATGGACACAAGAGTGGTCCTCTCATCAAACATCCTGAAGTATACTGGAATCACTAGAGCACACATCTGGTAATAACACTGACTGAACCCTCATGACACAGCAGCAGCAGAACTTCATGCTTCCTCTCCTCTCTGAGGCTGTCACCATGTTTTAGAGGTTGTTTTGCATTCATCCCATGACTCATCTCTAATTATTCTAACAGGGGTCTCAATGCAGTGCTATTAAATTATTTAACTAGCTCTGTTTCATATTGGGGTTTAACAAACTGCATGGCCTCATGTCATCATCAGGTTGATATGCAGGCAAGGAGTCAGAGGGAGGATATTTTAAAATGAAGAGATAATGTCCTGTCATTGTCTTTTAAAGGAAAATGGTGACAGCAGTGAATATTACCAACATTTGAATGCGCGGCTTTGAGAAAAAGCCTGTGGCTCGTCAATCTGTACTTTGGACTGAGCTCTCTTCTTTCAGTTGGCATTTGAAATACTGCCAAGTCAAACAGATTTTGATGAAACGTCAGAATAGGTGAAGAGGTTTTCCAAGACTGGGGGGGTCTGGCACATCCGGTACCAATGTAAACGAAGATGTGAGGAAAGCCGCAGGGCAGTGTTTCATCAAGATATTCCTCTGAAAGTTTTGTAGCAGAGTGGATAATTATAGCAGCGTCTATCTGAGAAGGAAACTACAAGGACATTTCTTTATGCTATAGACTCTCAGACATCCATCATTTGCTAGAATAAAATGTCAACCGAGCAGGCTGAGATATCTAGATACACAGATGAGATCTGTTCAGAAAAGCTTTATTACAGACAGACACCTGGACATGAAATCCCTCTCACTGCAAATGAACAGTCATAGAAATAGTTTCTCTGCTAAAGGAAATCTGTAATCCAGATTATTACCTCCAAGGAGGTTATGTTTTCACCCGGTTGTTTGTTGTCTGTTTTTGAACAAGATTACACAAAAACTACAGAGCAGATTGCCACGAGACTTGGTGGAAGGGTGCGGTAGGGATCAGGAAAGATACCATTCAATTTGGGTGCGGCTTATTTTCTTTAGCATTGTAAGAAAAGACGTTTTCACCATTTTCACATGGAATTATTAATGGATCTTGAGAAAATCAGGCAAATTTAGGGAGCTGATATCTATGATTGTCTGAAAATTGGTGCAGCTTGATTTAGATGATTTTAAGTAAATTGTTGGGACCTTGGCGGAAGTTTGTGCTCTACTGAGTGTTCTTATTCTTATTTGCCGAAGCTTTCCATACCCATGTGTTATGAAACGTTGATTGAGTTTGTCAGGTCACACCACACCTGTCACTTAACAATGCCAGTACATCGCTTCATTAAACAATATGTTCTTTGGTTGGCTGGTTGCATTTTCACTGCATACCAAAGAACAAGGTGCAAACAACTTCATAACCACCCCCCTAACTTTGAAAGAGTTTGGACAAGTGGAAAGGAAAAGTCATAAAGAAACGTCTCAAATTGGCTTCTAGTAAAATAAGCTCACAACCTGCCAGATTCGCAGCTTTTACTTGATGGGCAGGAATAGACGACAAGGAGACGGTGGGAATTCTCTCACACGCTGCAGTGAGAGCAGCAGCAAACACGCTAAACAAACAGACAGACAGACACAGACCAGTGATCCAGGCTCTTCCCCTGTTCCTCCATCTGCCTCACCAGACTCCTCTTAACTGTCCGCGTTTGGAGGCTCGAACTGCATGAAAATAAGGGAAACACTGACTCTTACAGGATTTATGGTTGTACCAATTAGTAGTTGTACCAACAATACCTGAAAATGATAAATGTTAAGTATTAGTATCAGTAGCAGTAGACAATCCTTATCTTACAAATTAGCTGATGTTACAGCTACCCTCTACTTCTGTTGTTATGCTTTATATGCATGGATATATATATATATATATGTTTACTGCTTAATGTGAACAAAACTCTTAGGTAGGTGAGGTACATTTCATCTGCAAAGGTGGTGAAAACAACTCCCATAATCCCACGCTGCCTCACAACGTCATTGAACTAGGTCTATTGTTATTGTTTTGATTGAGAGTTGAAGTTACATATTGTACATTTAAATGTGACATTATTCTTGACTTTAAGCCACAGCGGCCATGGTTGATTAAAAGTTGTATGGCACATCACTTTAAATCTGTGATATCATAGCTTTACATCGGTGAATGAATTGCATTTTATTGCTATCCACCTATTGTACAGTACCGTGGCCGTGTAGCTGTTATGCTCTACATCTGATTGTGTATTTTTCAGTTTCAGTGGGTGTACAATTAGAAGCTTCCTGTGCTGGACTCCACAGGGAGTTACTATTCCACTGTGAAAAGCAGGTATAGGCCTATTGAAGGACTGATGTGTGGAGATTAAAAACTGAAATGAATAACACGGACCCCACCCCTTCCACCTTTTCTCTGAGCTGTTTGTCAAGCTTCAGTCGAAATAGTTTTTTTGTTGTTGAAATATTTAAGTATACTGACAGCGTGAGGAATGGTGAAATAGTTTTTTTTTATTGTCCGTGGAGAAGGAGGATTCAGAACTGAGTGTTTCCCGCTGATAGCCACTCTAACTGGGATTTGTTTTTGAGAGCAGTAATTTCTTCTGAAGGGAGGTTGAAGTTGTTGTTGTCTGTGTGTGTCTATTTCACAGGAGTATTTACTCTGTAGATACAAACCACTTTTATTTGCACATGATGGGCCTTAAAGTACAGACATCAGCGGCACCAGGGAACCAGGGACAATTACGTACGTCTGTTTGAAAACTAGAATTTCAATGCAATAGTGTGCGTGTCTCTGCCAGCCAGTGTAGTTTCAGTATACGTGCATCTTTTTCAGGACTCATGAGGTCACATTGACGTTTGCCCACTGAAAGGCAGACTTGTGAGGCCACCGTGGTCTTGACCTTTGACCTCCCAAATCGAATCAGATCATCTGTGATAAGTGAACATTTGTGCCAAATTTGAAAAGATTCCCTCAAGAAATTTCCAAGATATCTCATTCATAAGGCAGAAATATGCAACGGCATCGATGTTTGACTTTAGATGCACCCCAAATTGTGTGCATCGGCGTATGTGTGTGTGTCTTACATCAACTACACAAACACATTTGTTGTCCCAAACAAGACTGTTGTTGAGACTGGAAAAAGGTCAAATAAAAAGGGACGGAAGTTATGATTCTTCTTTCTGCCGTCACGCTCCACAACTCTCTAATGATCCCAGACCTCAAACACCATTGTTCGTTCTGCACTTACCATTAAACTAAAGGCTCCAGAGTCCACCGGTAGTTTCCTGAAAGTACCACAGGCTTACTGCTCAATATAGCGTGAAGTGGGAGCCTCTACAACCTTGTAACACTCCAGTCATTTTACAAAAATATCCTGTGATTCTTCTTGAACATTCAGCATCACGAGATATTACAGGTTTCAGTATTTACTGGAAATCGCTGTCTTTGAAAACACCAAACATGTAGTTTTCTCTGAGGTCTGCCCTCAGTTTGCTGAAACATGTCGGCTAAGTAAAGATTTATTGCAGTAACCTGTTCATATAATAAAAAAAAGTTATGTGCTGTGTGTAATGGCAGGTCATCACTCGGTGTTAAGGGACCTGTCGGTGCTATTGATCTGTTGCAAACATAGTCCACATGCTAAATGAGAGTCAATGCTCAAATCACTGTCAACTTTCGGAACTATAAACTATTAACTTGTTCCATTCCCAAGCTTTCAATCATATGGCATGAATAGGTGTTTTAGTTGTCATCAAAGTGTTGATGAATGTTCCTATAACACTATGTGTGGGACCCATACTAATGTTGGGCATAATAATGGACATTAGCCCCCGTCCCATATATTTCGATAGTTTGGGGTCACTATTTTGTTAATTTATAAACATATTGATGTTCACCACATGTATTTTCAGACATCTGCCTGTGAAATTCTGTATTTCCTGGTGAGCAAAGATAACAATTTGACGCAAATTACACGCAAATTGTGGATAATGTAAATACGAGATTCACATCAGTGTTTGCAAGTTATGGTGTGTGCCTGTTCAGAATATTGTCAGTGTGAGTCTGTTTTGAGCATTGTAGGGGAAGTAGTGATTGTGTATTTCATGCAAACTCAAAACTGAATGCAAATTTTTGTGTGTTCTGCAGTAAACACAGAGCCTGCAGTGTGCAGCTACAGTGTGTTGCTGTACATTTATTTTCCAGAAATGAATTATTGCACACCTGGTAGTCCCTTTGTTTCCATGTGTGCAACGAATGCTGGCCTCAAAGCAGTGTCAGAGTTACTTCTTGACTCTGGAAATTGAAGTTGACCAAAAAAAGGAAAACTACAGGTACAATATTATCTGATCTGGAGCTCTCAGTCTTATCGGGATGTATGTAGGTTGTTGCTTGTGGTTGTTGAAAGAGTTTTGAAAATATTCCCTAATTCTAGGAGTTGTGAGATCCAGTTTGTTTAAACAAGGTGTGGTTGTAAATTAAGATGACTGGATTTCCCCTCAATGGATGACAGAGGCGTTACTAAGAAGGTGCTATCCTTGTCCTAATGGAGTTTAATCACCGTAACTATTTTGTGTTTCCACCATGAGGCCATTACCATCAGTCACAGTAACACCATTACGAATACAAGGCAGGAGTAGCTTGTCTACAGCAGCCACCAAACCTGGTCTTTCACCACCTGCACCTGAGTCACATAGATGGCTGCATTTCATCCCACTCACTTTAAACCTGCACGTACAAGCCCACTGATGCACGAGCGTGCAAGAAGATGATGACCAACGGCCGGTGCTGAGTTCAGCACTGACGATAAAGAAATGAAATAAAGGTGAGCCGGAGAAAAGCTGCCAGCAGGTCAGCCGCTTGTGTTTGCTTTGCCAACGTCACCACATATTGTACAACTCCCTCACCCAACACCAGATAAGCAGGGGATGGCGAAGGGCACTGCCAGCTCATAAATCATGTCACCTGTTGGGAATGTAAAAGGCGTTGCCCTCTGTGCTATCAATTGTCTTGTAAAACAGGCATTTAATACAGTTGGTGAACAAATGAACAAATGAATGCTCTGAACAGGAACAGTTTCTTTCAAACAGCTTGTTTATCACAAAAACCAAAGAATATCTCTTTTTATATTGTATTTATTTATGCTTTTTTTTTTTTACCCTTCTCTGGGAGCTTAGGGTTTTTTCCCCCGTGTCGTTTGTCGTCATATCAGCTGAGTTTAAAACACCCACCAGCCAGCAACTTGTGTTTTAATGGTCAAAGTTCACTTTCTCAATGTAAGTCATGGTATCTACATACACAATACACTTTATGTTATCTTGGCACTTCTCTAATTGCTGGTAAAAGAGCGACATGGAAGATAAGATAAACGGAGGAAAGGCTGCCCAGGGTGGTTGAACTGGTAGACATTCTAAACAAGTTGTGTAACCAGGTACGTCTTTTGTGGGTACTTTTATTCCAACTAGAGATAGAAATATTTTTTTTAAACTTTTATTTCCATGGATTTAAGACCAGTCCATATTCATCCAAAAACGGTAAAGCTTTCTGTAGTCTCCCTCAGGCATGTGTTCACACCTTATTAACCCAAAAGGTGAAACCTGCAGGTGTACAACAGCCTCTTTGAACACCCTCCCAGAAATCCTCAGCCTCAATCCTCCACGGCACGTGGCCCGTTGTTGGGGCTGTACAAACAGCCCCAGCGTCCAGCGCCACCCCTCTCTGCCGAGGGACAAAGGCAGCATTTACCAGTACGTTCTGGTGACCTTCAGAGGGCAATGTTGTTGTAGCTGGACGCTGCCTGCTGGATCACAGAAGTGCACCTCTGTGCCGCAGGGTTTTTTTTACGTTTGTTTGCTTTGAGTGGAGGCGTGTGGGGAGGAATGTCTGGTTTTGGGTCAAATGTGTGTGAGGGCAGAGGAGTTCATGTTTAGGACGGAAGATCAAATTTAAAAGACGTAAAACCTGGCACCTGTGCAGAAGGTGATGAAACCATGTAGGTTTCTCACATTCACACCTCTCCCTTATTCTGATACTATCACATGACCAGATGAGTTGTTCCATACTGTTATAACAGGTTTCACTAGAACACCGTGTCCTATAGTAAACCTCCAGTCTAGATGTCACCCCATTGTGACTGAGGTAGCACTATAAACTGCTTACCTATGATTGTCCACCTCTGTTTACAGTATTGACTCACTTCCATTGTCTCATGTCATATGCTGCTCTATCTACAGTGGAGCCTGTCCGTGAATGGAGACTGTTCTGTATCTGACCGCACAATAACAGAACCTTTCATAGAGATTACTTATTGACAGCTCTTTAAATATTGAGAGGAGATAAGTCATCTGTAAAATGTGGGCTGTAAAGATAAATGTAAGGCTTGATGAAAAACAAGATTGCGTGTATACAGGAAATCTCAGCTGTCAATCATCATGTTTAACTCCAGGCGGTGATTTAGACATTTTGGATTCACTTTTAGTGAGCTGTCATGTCTTCCATCTTTATATACAGTCTATGTAAGGAAGCATAATTTAGTGTCACACTCTGACTTAAAAACTCCTCTTTAGCCTGGTCGCAGCACAAATCCACAGAATCATACAGTCTCATCAAGTTTCTCTTTCTTTGTAATGATCTTCCAATGCTAAAAGTTGCTCTTGTTTTTTTAGGTGTTGTTCTCATGGAGATTGCAGAGACCCAAAGGAAGCTTCATAATGAACTTGACGAGAATGTAAGTACCTTCAAATGTCAATGATGAGTTATATTCTACATTTTTGTTTGTAATCGTTTCAAGTCTGCAGGACGACCAAAAAGCTGAGTAGAATAAAATTATATAATAAAGAATCAGGGAAACAATAGTGTCACAATAATTCATCTTAACAAGTATTTTCTGTGCAGAATTTCCCGTTCAAAAAACACAGTGTTTCTCACAGTGATGTTCATTTGAATCTGCACAGTTGTTTATATTGAGTCGATCCCACTCACACACATCATCCTATGCTGTAGCTGAAAATACTTTCCAACAGTTCCACCACACTGATGTTTGAGTAAGGTATGATACAAACTAATCCCCCGTTGCTTTGGAAAATGATTTTACCTTTTTTAGAAAATTAAACTATTGGCTTATTTATGTTTTTAAAGAATTAGCATTTTCAGTAGAGACAATGCTATTAATATATTTTAATCAGGTCCATGTAAATGTGTCTAAGGCTGAGGGGATAATATTGAGAGATGGACTTAAGGATTGTAGGTTTTGGACCAACTTGCTCTCCCTTCATCTGTGCTCCTAATCAGAAAGATAAAAGCATGAAAATAGACCTGAAGGATAAAAAGAGCAAATATGTCACAAAGTAAATTTGACAGCTCGCCTGTTGGGCCTCTGGTGACTGATTGTCATTCCTCAACATACTCTGTGACCATCAGTGCTCTGCTTATCTTTGCAAAATAGACATAGATTGGCCGTTTGTTACACTCTATCCTCCGCAGACATGTAACCTCCACAACCTTTTTCATTCCCTTCATTTTTGCGAGGTTGAAATTGTCGTGACGACATGTTAAAGAAAGTTTGACGAGAGTGGATTAGCAACAGAGTCATTCCTGACAACTGCTGCCTCGGGGTGAAATGCTTCAGATATTTGTGAATGAAATGTACTAAATTTAAGTCAAACGTGGCTAAAACTGAAACTCACCACTCAAGAAAACTTTGAAACATGCAGATAACGTCTTTTAGCTCCCTCTGTCTTAGCTTTCCTTCTGAAAATTCCCGGGCAGAGTGTAATTTATCTGTGTACTGTAATGTAAATCTTTAACCTTAACTGGCTGATAAGTCTTCACTGCTGCTGGAATCTCATCCTCTCCCAACACACAATTATATGTTCCACCAGGTCTCTCCTCTCTTATCATAACAGGGCACATGACAGAACTGCACATTGGGTTTAGGGCAGCTTGCATGCTCGATGATGCAAGGTGCAACATATATATGTGTGTGTGTGTTTTCTCTCTGCAGTTCAAGAGGTTTCACAATGAGATAATCGTCGAGCTGGAGAAGAAAACAGAGATGGATGTGAAATACATGAATGTAAGTGTCACCATGAACTGCAGACCTGTATTCTTCAGTGCAACCCATCCTCCCTCTACTTATGACAGTTTTTATACAAACATTTCATGGAGCAGTGACTAGCACTAGCCTCACAGCAAGAAGGTTCCTAGTTTGAATCCTGATTCAGGGTACTCTGGCTCCCTCCGACAGACATGCAGCGTAAGTGAATTGAAGACTCTTAATTGATTGAGAATGAAATTGTCTTGGTGTGTCGGCCCTCTGCTACACTGGCGACCTGTCCAGGGTGTGCCCTGGCTCTATGCAAATACAGATTCGATTGATCGATCTTCCTTTTCCTTTTTCTAAAACGTCTCTTGTCAAATGTGTCACGTAGGCCACCTTCAAGCGTTACCAGTCAGAGCACAAGCTGAAGCAGGACACTCTGGAGCGCTCTCAGACAGACCTGAAGAAGCTGAGGAGGAAAAGCCAGGGAAAGCACTCTTCCAAATACACGATCAGAGAGAACGAGGTGAGACTGAAACAAAACTCCAACCTTCCTTTTGCCTTCCAAGCACGGTGTGCACTTGGCATGGCTTTTCAAGCACGCCGCTGCTACATGTCCATGTGCTGATGCTTGTGAGAAGAGTAGGACGAGTGTGCAACTGATGTGATGGGGTGGCCAAGGGAGTTCTCATAATATTCACTTGGCAACACGAAGGAGGAAGTGTCACAGGGGACTGAAATTTCAGGTTTTTTCATTCTAGTTGTGGTGTAATATTATGTACAGGGATCACGTCAGTGAGGACAGATATATATACTATATACTTCCAAGTGTCTTCATATATTTTCACACAGGGATGAGATGTCAGATTAAAAGTGAGTGAAACCATCAAAGGTGTTTTTGCACATCATATAATAGGATCATTATAACTCAGCAAACTGCAGTAAATTAAGATGCAAGTATTAAATGATACAATAAAATTGAATTTAAATAAATAAAGGTAAAGATTGAACTGTTCTCTTGTCTACCATCTTGATGTTGTTAGAGGGTGATTCTGGTTTTCTGATTTGATATTGTCGGTTCATTGATTAGTCATGTGACCTATTAATCAAGTCAAGTATAGAAAAGCAAAACTAAATTAAAGAATATACTCCTAGTAGGAGTAACAACAAAGACTGAAAGGGTCATACCAAATTTTATCGTTCAGTGAAGAGAGAATAGAAGACTTAAAAGTTGAACTTGTCAGTATTGACATGGCTTCGCTTGACTCGGTTTTCTTTATGCCACATAGTTCCTCCCAAATGAAGTGTGTTGCACATTGTTGTCGCCTTGCACCACTGACAAGCTTTAACTTTGTAAATCAGTGTGCTGAGATAAAGGAGGGACGGCACAGTGTGAGTAATCACTCCCTCCTGTCTCCAGTTTTAATTTGTTCCACTGTTTTTACAGCCTCACGTGATGACGGACAGTGCGTAAGCCTCGGCTCCTTTCGGGTGAATTATTAAACAAAGCTTTAAATTGAAAAGCCGATAAGTTATCGCAGATTGTAAAAGCGTTGTTGTGGCTTCTTGGCTTCCTCGGTTTCTTTTTTCATTTCTGCCAAAATCTCAATTAAGTTTCAAGTTTGCCCTTGCACTTCAATAGCACCTATTAAAACACATCCATACGATTCAATAAGTCATCTTAACCGGTCAGAACCAGGTGCCCCAGGAGTGACATTTCATTATCTGATAAAAAGGACACCAGTGAACTGCAGGGCTAACAGCTCAGCGTTCTAATAATCTTCTGTCTGCCCTCCCACCTCTCGCTGAGAGCCTGGTTGATTGTTTGCCAGGGAAACTGAAGAGCTTGGATTCAGCGTCTGACAGGGCAGAGAGCAGAAGAGGGTCTCTGACAGAGCCCCTAGAGACAGGCTGCTTTACTGTTACCATGACAACCTGGGGAAAATAGGAGAAATTTCAAGGGTTTTCCTAAATCAGGGGCAATGAAGGGGCCACAATTTACGCAGAGAGTCCATTTATATGTATAACCATCAATGCACAATCCCTGATTCAGTAAGGTGCACATGTAAGTCATCCCTTGTTTACTGGCTAGTTATTAATCCCGTACCCTGACCTCCCTGCTGCCCTGTGTCCCTGTCTGCAGTTTATGGAGACCATCTCGTCACGCCAGACGGACATGCAGAAGTTCATCGCTGAAGGCTGCAGAGAGGCCTTGCTGGAAGAAAAGAGACGCTTCTGTTTCCTGGCAGACAAACACTGCATGTTCTCCTATCAGATCAGCAACTTCTACGAGAAAGTAAACGCGGACAGAGATGAGCAGTCCCCCGCAACCAGGACCCCCTACCCTCCAGTGTGTGTTGTCAAACTCCTGCTTTCTAACCTCTCGCTTTTTCTCTGGTGTTTTCCAGGCCAAAGATATACTGTCCACGAAGCTCCCCACCTGGCAGGAAAAGTGCAGCGACATCACCAAGGTGCCGGACACGGTGGCGACCATGATTGAGGGGCTCTCCCCGACTCCAGTACAATCGCCGCTGGTTGAACACAACAACAGGGTGCGCTTTGGCTGGTCACGTATGGAATTGTGTTGAAACTGGCACTCAAATTGTTCCTCTGTGAGATAAGCAGTAGCTTCAGAAGAGACTTGTTATTTTTGATGACAAACTTTGATATGTTACTGGAGGTTTGAGTCTTACCAAGGGACTGATGGCTCTCGTATCAGACGGAGGTAGCTGTGAGGAAAGTGCTAGTTATCATGAGCTGGTTATCAGCCATGGATAATGACACGTGCATGTTGTCACTTCCTGTTAAAGTGTACCGAATATTTTCAGGCCACAGCCATTTATTGCTGCGTAGGAGGGTGATGATAAGCTTTAATTACAGTAATGACCATTTAAAATCACTGCCTCCATAACAAATGAGGTCACGCTGCCAAAGCGTTTGTGATAATGTTGCCAGCTCATATTTTCATATTAGTGCATTTTCCTATCACACATCCCCGTCTTTGCTTTCTCCTCAGAACAATGTGGAGTCAATGGTTCCTCCTCCAGCACCACCGCTAAAGGCTCAAATAAGTCCGCTCGCCAATATGTTCAACCCAGAGCCCAGATCTTTGCTCACCTCCCCCTCAGACCACAACTCAGGTATAAACACAGCTGCTCTGAAACATCCACAAAAAAAAAGCATTTACAATTTTTCTGTCTGATTTTCAAGATCTATGATTTAATCTTTGAGAAATCAACAATTGTTTTGAAACACTTCCATCTCACAATTGTTGAAGAAGCAAAACAAATCTTACCAAACAACAAAACCTCCATGGCAGAGATAATTAATGAGCTTCAGAGACGGTGGTGGTGGTCGTGTTTTGTTAGCTCTGTTCAGAGCCTGACAAGCTGTTTCCCCTTGAATTTTTAAAAATGAAGTAAATCATCTTTAATTTCAAGCGTTGACACGATTGCATCTCTAATATGTTACTATGAACCTCTGCTGCCTCCAGACCAGGGCAGTCTTGGGGGGGACAGTATGCACCGGTCGGTGTCCATGTCGTCTGGTCTCAACGTGGGCAGGAAACAGCGGGTCAGGACCATCTTCCCTCACACGTCGGGCAACAACGACACACTCCTCAGCTTCGACGAGGGTGACATGATCACCGTGCTCCTTCACGAGGAGAAGGACGGCTGGCTGTATGGAGAGCTGGAGAAGACAACGCAGTAAGTTTTTACTGCATATGTCCCTTCCATATTTGTATATTACAGGGATGTGTGGATGGCAGTATGAAGTGAGGACGATTTCTGTGATATTACCCATAAGGCATTACTCATCTTTTTATTCATCCCACCATTTCTAACGTTTTGGGGCATGACCCAAGGCAGAAGCCATTAGAATTTGGTTAAACTTTCTGAGAAAATCTGGATCTACTGAATTTAAATGTGGTTTCATAAGGGGACTGTTGGGCCTCAGAGGTTTTCTTGTAGTCTACAAATCTCACGTGGACAGAGGAGGCCGTAGAAGTTGGAAATTAATGAGACAAACACAAACGCAATGTTGGTTTTGATAATCTCATGTTATTTGTTATATGATAGTTATAAGAAATGGCTGGGATATATGGAATTTCTTTTTTGACTTGAACCAACAATGAAAATAGAAAGTGTGTTTGTGGAGTCCCTCCCTCACATACTTGATCTAAATACGAGCATTGGCACACCCAGAACAGGAGGTGTGCTCTCATCCCAGCAAATGCAGCTGCTCTGACACAGGCGTTTTTCACATAACTAAGGTGGCAGTACGGGTTTCTGCTTTGTGTTCCTTAATATTTTGCTTTACTAATACACCGTGCATGGAAACACAGACTATGTCAGGAATGTTCAACATGACAGTCATAAAGCTTGAACTCTCTCTCTCTCTCTCTCTCTCTCTCTCTGTCTCTCTCTCTGCCTAACAACACAGCATGCAAAGAAATCCAGGTACACACACACATACACACCAATGAGGGAAAAAAAATGTCCATGTGCAAAAACAAATACCTCCCTGCACAAGCAGACATGTCTGTTTCTTATTTGCTCAAATGATCAGGTTTAACATGTATATATATATATGTCTACTTGTGCATGGAGGAATTTGTTTTTGCACATGGAAACATTTTTCCCTCATTGGTACACAGTATATATATACACAAGTCATCTGTGCATATGTAACTGCTGCATTATGAGTCCCTAAAGTGGTCTGAGTAATTACAGCCACCTCCTCAGTAGATCGATTAGGCCTCAGAATTTAGCCGAAAGGATTGCGGCGTGCTCACAGCGCTCGTGTAGAACATCTTTCATTTTCACAAACAAATCAACGCATCTGCTCCCCCATTGTGTCTGTGTGTGTCATACAGCGGTCTTTTGAGGCAGAGTGGTTTTAGTGCAGTTTATCTGGAAGACAACATGTTGAGGGTAAATCACAGTACATTCTGTTTCTTAGCAACAAAACCACGACACCGGTCTGATAAACCATCTCGTTCGACAAATTCTGAGTCTCAGTGAAGAAAATCTCTGTCTGTTTATATATCTAATGTCGGATTTGTGGATCTATTTGGTGTCTGTCGCAGTGAGTGTCAGCTGTTGCCCTTGGATAAGCTGATCTCTTGCAGTCTCTTGTATTTAATTATTGAATGAATGGACATAATTCAAAAGAGGCATTCATCTTATTATTGGACAGATTACGATATCATCAACAGTGGATCTAGGATTTGTCTAAAAAAATTAAAAGGGGGCCAATTATAGGTCTAACATTCATGCATTTGACCAACATTGTGAAAGACAGCAATCAGAAACTTTAGGTCTCATTTTTTCTATGGCTGTTTGTGTATTGCTGTTGTTTCAGAGTTACTGTAAACCATGAAAAGGTTTAAAGTGGTGGTCTCCTCAACCGAAAAGTACATTATGAGGGGAACACACACTTTCTGTAATTATAAGGAGTTTTAGGTCATTTGTAGCATGGACTCTAATTTATAGGAGCGTTTCAAATGATTTATGATGTTTTTGACATAGTTGTGTTTCTCTTTTTTTATTAGGCGGGGCTGGTTTCCCTCATCTTACTGCAGACCCTGCACTGAGCCAGTGTTATCAAATAGGTAAGAAAACATGACAGCGTGCCAGGAAGTGAATCAATACACAATCAATGTGATTACAGGAGGTGTATCGTGAGCTGAACCATTATTTCCTATGTATTTGCAGCAATCTGAGTACGCCAGTGCATAGTCTGAGTGTGGCCAGTCTGCCAGAGGAAGATCTGGTGTTGATTCCACCACCAGACTACAGTGACGACCCCCCCAGCCCAGTGGTCCCCTCAACGCCCTCACCACAGAACACGGTTAGTGCCGGCACCTGCATGAGCACAACCCAAACCTGCTGTGGATTTAATTAACCTGTTTTTCAACTGGAAAACACATCATTTTATAAATGTTGATGATTATAATAAGGTAGGCTACAATGGGAAAGAATGAGTGAAAGGCAGAGTTATAATGTGGGTAAAGAACAAAATTGAAACTGAAAAGCAGAGAGCACCATTAGATTATGTCCCTGATATCTCTGGTTTTCTTTGATATAGATAATTATCAAATAAAATGGTACGGGTGCAGTTTACCAAAAAATATTACATTGTACACTAGAAACTTCTTCAAAGAAAGCCCAGAACTCCTGAAGAGACTGGTCTTTAACACTGATTCCATGTTGGGGTTTGATCATGTAACACAAGTCGTTTTCTGACATGAACTCCAGAAGATGTCTGCATTCTAGGGCCTGAACTATCTCCAGAGTTTTACTTTCACATGTGAAGAGCGCAGCAGGAGAATCTTTGGTCAGATATTCTTTGAGCGTTCAGGCGAGGGGTGTTATGGCTCCTCTTAGTTTTTTTTAGTTTTGCATCTGTGGCATGTTAGAAACGTCATCAACATGCCCACTCATTTGCTGTGTATCCTGACAATCTTCTAGTCATTTCTCACATGGGCTCATTTTCCAGTGTCTTGCAGCTTATTGTTTTTGTCCCGGAAGCTGCACTATTTTGGTTGACTGCCATCGGTCCGAGCAGGGAGTGGTTCAGGAAAAACACTCTCAAATGCAGCACAGCTAGTTGGCGAGTAAACTTATCGGGTTGTTTAGTGACTCTAAAGCCAAAATAAACCCTCAGGATTTTGTGGAGACTAAAAACAGAGCTTAAAGTCGAGGTTCATGTTGGCTTAGCATTCACATCTTATTTCTGCTGCCCACAAAAATCCGTTACTGCAGTTTAATGTGTCACTGTTAAACATATGTAACTCTAATACCCCTTATACTATGACTAGCTAATACGTTTTTATGCTAATATTAAGGTATGGTAAAAAGTGTCGACGTAGTATTGAAGGTCCAGTGTGCAAGATTTAGGTGAAAGAGAACTATTGGCAGAAAGTTAATGTAGAATAATCCTCATAATGTTTTCGCTAGTTTGTTTCATCTAAATTGTATGAATTGTAGTTTTCTTTACCCAAGAAAAGGCCCTTTATATTTAAATACTTTGTATTTACATCGAGGGGACCCTCTCTACAGAGGCTGCAATGTTTTTTACATTAGTTCAAACTGGACAAACTAAACACCTTTTGAGTTTTTGAGGTTCTTTTTCATGTTTGGAAGGAGAGATGAGGGGGTGTTCAGCTGCAACATGCAATTTCAATACTACATATCACAGAATTCTACACACTGTACCTTTAAATCAAGGCACAAGTGTCTTTATTTAACAGCTGTAGTTGATGTGCCTGCAGGCCAGGCACCATGGCCCTGGTTGCCACAGTGAAGGACTTTGTTTGTGTTGGGTTGCTGCCATGTTTGAGTTTCTATTTAAATGGGCCATCACATGTTGTAGAAAAGGTCGTACATTTCCCGACAGGATGTCTTTATTGCCTTACCTAAGTCGCTGCAGACTCCACGCCCATGCCACGAAATGCCATCACATCTTATCAACATCTCCTTGATTCATACTCATCACCTCCACACCCTGAAAACACATCACAAGCAGAAACACACCTCAATTCCTCCAACCCATTTGAGTAAATACACTTCATTCATCCAGGCGATTATTTCCCAAAAGTATACAGGAGCCTTTTAGATATGTTTTTTCATTTTTGGCAACAGGTTCATAGTCTTTGTTGACAGTGAGGAAAAATGGTCATAGCCAAGTTTTATTCAGGAGCGAGAGATTTGTTGAGGACAGAGTCACAGAGGACAAGAGGGTATGAACACAATTTCATTTTGTGCCTGCACTGTGTCAGCTGATTGAAAATGAGCTAGTGGCTGTCCTGCCAACAGGCAAGCCCAGGCGCTCTTCTTTCTTCCTCATCATCACCTTCCTCGCTGCTCTGTCTGTAATCAGTGTCCTTTATATCTGCTGCCTCAGGGCTTCACCATGACATGACACCTCTTGTCTCTTACTCTAGTTCACGAATAACCCCAAACACTGATTAAATTAGTTTGCAGGACTAGATTAACTTTTTTGACATTTAATTTAGTTCCCTCACACTGTGCAGCCTACGTGGAATAACAAACTGGAGCATCAAAATGTACTTTTCAATCAACATTGTCTTTAGCCAGGACAAGCTGTGATCTGTGTATTTGTGGTATAGAATGCTTAAGGAAAGTTTGAATTTGTAGGAGATTTTATTTTGGGATAAAAAAATATCCTTAGTAATATTTGGAGTACTTTACAATCAGGAAATTAACAGAAGCGGAGATTTAAACATCTAAACATATAAGAATGGAACTCAGTAGATGCGTCTACCAAGCCCCCATCTGAAATCACATTTAAATCCACTAGATCACAATCATAATTATTAGTCCCAGAAACATGTCTGATTTTTTTTTCCATCAAGATCCATAAATTATCCTCGGATCCCTGATCTGGAGCCACACAAAAATTGAATGGGTTTGTGCCTGACACGTACCAAAACCTTCCACTAAGTTTCATGGTAATCTGTCCTGTAGTTATTGCCTCATCGATAGAAACCAACCCCAGATGATTTTCGGCCTAAAAGGCTGAGTCCAGAGAATAAAAGTTTCATGATCCAGACTGTGACTTTTGGCTCTTCATTGCTCTCTGCTGGAAGAGTTGGATAGTAAATGTTTTTGTGCAATTAGTCATTTGCATTCTAAACCTTCCTGATAAGCTCCGTAGCAATGTAAACTAAATGATATGTATCTCATCTAAAATGAAAGCATCATACCAAACAACAAACTCTAGGGTTTGATGAGAGTTACTCTGACAAATTTATGAGCTTCTACAACTCTAAAAACATTTTACAGCATTTGTGAGCAAATATGTGACTTCGGTATCCCATCAGGGCATTTAACTCAAGTTATTTATATTCCTCAACTTTATTGTCCCCTATGCTCACTTGACTCTGCGGAGATGAGAACATTATCTCCGTCATCAGGTGATAGAAAAAGAGGAGTGTGTCACTTGCCGGCATTTCTAGATCATCTAGATTCCATACTCTGTGAGGTCTGAAGTTGTAGCTGAAGTATGTGCCAAAACTCTGCGGATTACGAAGGAGGGAGGGCGGGCGGGGGCCAAGTGTTGATGAGAAATCTAATCAAACCAGTCAGACAACAATTCCTTTTTTCACAGCTGAAGGGAGGGTGCAGGTTTGTTGGGGACTCTGGTTTGTGGTGGTATGTCCCTGAAAGTGTGTGTCCTGGAACTTCATGGGTCTTTTCTTCTGTGTTTTTGACAACAGGTGTCTTTAGTCAATGGGACTGCGAAGGCTCCTTTTCTAGGGTGAGTGACCTAACACAGCTAACACAAACTCACAGGTCACAGCTCAGTGTGTGTGAGTCGATTGGTGATCGCTCCATTGTGAATTCAAAGTGATTTCTGATTATTTTCTTCCTGCAGGGGAGGGAATCCATTCGCCACGGTCCAGCTGAGGCCAACGGTAACAAACGACAGATCGGCACCACACATCTAACGTGGGGCAGGAGAAGTTTCACCACTGTCACGCCTTCAGGGGAATCATGGGAAACATGGGACCCCTGCGACACAATGATTATCACCCCAACCTGACATCTCACCAGTCTGCATGCTAGTCTCTCTCAGTACCAGTCTGCTCTATTAAAGGGAACCATTGTTTCTTGGCACAAGTGTGCTTTACTGTGCCAGTGTGTGTTTGACATTAGCCACAGCAGTGAAACATTACATAATCAACATGTGGATATTCTGACAAACTTTGTAGTGCAAAGACATAATGTCATATACACTGAGTCTTAAAGGTTCAGTGTGTAGAATTGAGTGACATCTAGTGGTGAAGTTGCATGTTGCAGCTGAATACCCCTCACCTCACCCTCCCCTTCTGAACCTGTAGTAGCCTTCAGGTGTTTAGTTTGTCCAGTTTGGGCTCCTGTAAAAAACATGGCGGCCTCCATAGAGAGGACCCGCTCCTGATGTAAATATAAAGTATTTAAATATAACTTCATTTTAGAGAAAACGTCACAAGGATCATTTTATATTTAATTTCTGCCAATAAATCCCTTTCGCCTAAATTGTACACACTGAACCTTTAAAGTAATAATTCAGCCCAAAATGAAAATGTTGGCCTGGTCTAATACTTGTCACTTAAAGTTATAATAATACTGAGTTACATGAATTTGCAGGTTGAATACCTTTAATATGAGGAAGTAGGAAAGTTCAGTTTGCATGAGCAGTATAATACAGTGAAGCTTTGAGAAGGTGTGACGACAGTCAATTCTCAGCTTTTACAGACAGACAAAATTAAAGCTCCTGTGCAATACATGTAAATACATTGAATGTCTATTATGGCCATAAATACTGTCCCAAATTTGTTTTCAAAGTACAGAAGTTTCAGAGTTGTCCTTAAAAATCATTTAAAAAAAGAAAATCATCAAAACATTATTTTCACCAAGCAGTTTCTAGAAATGTTATTGCAAAAGTTACAGAAAACCACCTCAAATATAATAATGGACGTGTGGATTACTCCACATGTACTTGACCTCAACAGTGTCATGTGCTACTGAGGTATATTGTGAGTCATATAAATATCCAAGGACTGACCCATGAATATGGAGAATAAACCTACATCTTCATTTTGGGCTGAAAGAGAAGTGTCATCAGGTGTTTTCAGGCTTGTATGCACTGCAGTCAGTGCAGTGTTTTAATACAGGACGATGAACAGACCCAGATCTAAATGACAGTTGCCCGATGCTAATGAAAGAGACCAGCCCTTAGGCTGTCTTCCTGACTTGCAAAAAAAAAAAAGTACAAATTGTTATTTCTATTTTTCTTAACTTTATCTTTTGTCTTTCTTTGAGATATTCAGAAGTTGTGAGAATGAAGGAAGAGTGGCTTGTTGGTCGTTTGAGTGAAGGCAAAACAGTGTCAGTTTAGAAGGCTATTTATATACAGTAAGTTTATATTTAAATAAAATATGTAAACAGAAGTTCATTAGGTGTTTAAAGGGCCATAAAGATGCTTCTTTAAATACGATAGCGACTGGGCTCATTATGGCCTTGGAACCCTCACTGGTTTTGATTTGACTGCTGGTATGTGTTTTTTATGGGTAAAATGACCTTTTGATGAAGGAAATATTTTCACTACTCACTGCTCCACTGTTTAATGTAGATTCTGTGAATGATGAACAGTTTATACAATATAAAAATGTAAATTCAGTTATTTGCATTGTCTGTGAATACAGTGTGTCATTAAGTATTATGTTGTCTGTGAGGAAAGGGGCTTTTTGCCATCTTATTGCTTTGCAGGATGTGAATGTACGAAGAGGAACTGATTGATGAAACTGTTTATTGACCCACTGGTGTGTTAGTGAACCCATCACACTGACATAGTTAATGCCACATGCTTTCTTCAGAGTACCTTACCACTGTGTCTACCCACTTAGTCTTTATTCTCAGTAAAACATGTTAAAGTAAAAGTCTGCACAATAAAGGTTCAACTACATATTCTGTTCAGTTCTCTCTCCTCTGTTTTCTGTGACAGACTGTGTATGAAGAGTCCATGTTCCTTAAAATGTGCTTTGGTTTCACTCAGCTGAAGTAGAAGGGTGGCGTAGTATACATGATAGAAAAAAAATGATGTTACTAAGTAATAATAAAAACATGAATACGTCTAAGACAACAAGTAAAATAATGCAATAGCATTTAAAATCACACAGACACATGACAAATCAAATGATTCATTAAAGTAAATTACCATAATCTACCAAATTACTACAATCTACCAAAGATGCTGGTAGTAGGTGTATCTGAGGGGGCTGCAGCCACCCCCAATGGCAAGTACTTTTACTTTTTGATGCACAAATGTGCTTCTACATTCAAATACTCAATTGTTTTATTCTACTGTTCTCTCTTGTATATTGTGCTACTGTAATCTTGGAGCATGTGGCACACATGCATTTTATTCATTGAGAATAATAAAGTCTATATTATATCATATCGTATTAAATTATATGATCTTGTATCATATTATATAATATTATATCATATTATATCATATTATATCATATTATATTATATTTTATCATATTATATTTTATCATATTATATTATATTTTATCATATTAGATTATATTATATCATATTAGATTATATAGAAGACTTGAAACTTTATGTCCTCACCTGCTGCAGTTCACTTTCTGACGCATAAACCGTTAGCGCCCTCTGCTGGACGCCACGCCCGCAAAAACCTTCTGCCTGGGAAAACAACCAATGGGCGAACAGGAGCACTTCCTGTTTCGCTGTGTGGAGAAGAGGAGGAATCATAGACTGTGTGTGAACAGCAGGAGGAAGGAGGAGGACTGGCTATGTGACAACCAGAGGAGCTCCATTCATCCGCTCCCGCTGAGTGAACCGCGGCCGCCTCCGCCGCCCGGTCTGTGAGAGGAGCTGCGACAGGTCGGTGCGTCGGCCTGAACTCTGGTTCATTTGCTATTTGTAGAGAGCTAAGCCTGTAAGCCTGCACCCGAAACAAGCCACTGTTCATGTGCTAATGTGTAGCCCGGAGCTAGTGTCCTTCTCTGCCATTCACCACCGCAGTATATTAGCTATTTAGCCTCATTAGTAGCGCCCTGTCGTTAGCATGGTGTTAACACGCAGCTACAGTGTTTTGAATGTCCCTAACAGTTTTACAGATTTTGCTCACCATCGTCTACACTCTCGAGCCCTGTTGTTGTTTATTATTGTTGTTGTTGTCGTGTGCTAGGTGACAGAGGACACGCCTTTAGCAGCAGCATCATCCCTGCTGGTGTTCCAGTGTAAATTGGGACATTTGTTTACATTTCAGCCAACAAGTTCCAGATGTTCAATGTTGATGTGAGGCGCAGATTCGTCACATCGATCAAAATGTGGTCCTCGAAACTGAAAACAAATGTAACGACCCTAAAAACACGCAAGTTTAGTTTTGTACATTTTAGACAATATGAATTAAAAGAACGTAAAGATATGATGTGATGTCTTTATGGCGAGACTTTCAATATACATCAAATCGATATATGTGACTGAATCTGCAGCCGCAACATCTGGAACACAGGTAGTTGAAATATAAAGAATAATCACTAGCTTTGGTGGTGGTTGTTGTTAAATGGAGACCTAGTGTTGTTGCACAACAGTATTGTGAAACCACAACAGTCCAGGATGTGGAGAAGTGTTCCTTGACTTTAAGGGTTTAAATTCAGACATGACAAGTGGAGCAAGTTCCACCTCAACACATGATCCTGACTACTGAATGCAGCTCCACCTTTTTTATACCTGTTCTTCTTAGTCATTACACACGTACGCTTGACATCTTGCTTCTCTTGATCATATAACTTGACCTGATTACAGTGTACTCTTTAATCAAGTACTATTGGCTGCTATTTTATGATAAATACATTCTTCAATGTTACTTTTGGACAGTATCGCAATCAAAGTTGATAATTATTACATTATTATATTATTACAGCGGGGGGCCGAACAGGTCAGCTGACAGGCGCCTCATGAGTAAGGCTTTAGTCCTCCTGCAGCAGCTGGTCCACCTGGTCCTTTGCTGTATATCTTGCCTACTCTCTCTCTCTCTCCTCCTTTCACACTTAACTCTTATCATTTAATCTTATCATTAAAGCCCATATTGCCCCAAAATAACTTTTAAACTAAATATACCAGATTTGTAACAGGGTAGTTAATATGGACTAAAACAGCCTTCGTTAATCAGCATTGAATTCAACATATTCAGACAAACATGTTGTTTTATGTTGTTCTCTCCATCACCATGTTTCAGTCAGGTGCAGCCATGCCCATCTCTCTTCTGTGGGCAGTGGATGTGTACGGGCGGGTCTACAGCCTGTCCACGTCAGGCCAGCAGTGGGAGCATTGCCACGATGCCCAGTTGGAGTTCAAGCGGGTGACAGCAGCTCAACAGTGCTGCTGGGGCATCGCCTGCGACAACAACATTTACCTGAACGTCCACGCTTCTGACCTGCCTGTCCGCTACCAGGAGCAGACATACGAGAATCAAGTGGGTCTCATCCACAGTCATTATTTAGAGAGAGTTCTGAGAAACGTACAAAGAACTATACAAGTCACAAATGCATCTTTTATTCCCTCATTTCACAAAGCATCTGTAGTCAAAATGAAAATGAACTATACGTGTGATTGACTGACTGAAAGAGTAAGTGCAACATTCTCATACAGTGTTCAACTTCCTCTGTTGCAAACTCTGTCACACATTGTCAAACTCTTTCACACCCTGGCCTCTGTGTGACATAATAAGCAAGTTAAAAGCTTGTGGAACCAGTTTTTAATCGGAAAACCATATAATGCTACAGTTTACTATTCACCACTGACCATGGAATGGGGAAATGCAGAAAATACTAATTAGGTTCATTGTTTCTGGTGAAGACAAACAGTTTTGTACCATCAGGTTCTGTCAGGTCATGCGCGTTTTCAAACACTGATGTGGAAACTGTACTTTCTCTTTGTTTCTTATGATCCTCTGTTTGCTCATCATGACCTCCATCTGTCCGTCAGCGATGGAATCCTGTCGATGGCTTCTCGGAACGTTTGCTGCCAAGCGATCGCTGGCAGTGGAGCGATGTCACGGGTCTGCAACACCAACCCCTGGACAGTTTCAGACTTACCTCTAGCAGCTGGGAGTGGGAGGGCGACTGGTACGTGGATGAAAACTTTGAGGGAGAGCCCATGGACAAAGGGGTGAGTGTGTGATGATGTTTTCGTTTGTGCGTCCTTACGTCAGCATCAGCCTCTGCCCTTTTTATTCCTGCATTGTTGTAATGATTGAGGTGTTTGCATGTGCAGGGTTGGACCTACGCCATCGACTTCCCCGCTGCCTACACCAAAGACAAGAAGTGGAACTCCTGTGTCCGTCGCAGGCGATGGCTCCGCTACAGACGATACAAAGCCATGGACACATGGGCTAAGGTAAGCGTTGTACTGTGTTTGAGTTTGTGTGTGTGAGGCCTGTGGGTTTGTTCACCTGCCTCTCTCTTCCTGTGTCTGTTGATAGATCCCCTCGCAGCAGACAAATCTACCAGATCCCTTCAGCGACATCAGCTGCGGAGGCTGGGAGATCAATGAGGAGCCCAGGGGCCGCCTGTCACTGTGGGCCGTGTCCCTTCAGGGCAAGGTACAGCTCACACAACCAACCTTAGCCATGGATATCCATGGCAACCTACTTCAAATCTTGTTAGCCTGTAATTTGCATAAATAAATTCAGCTACAGTCTGGAAAACTGTCCTCTCATGCACACTGCAATGCTTTTTTCCTTATTTTTTATTTACTGTGTAATAATCATCAGTCAATTATATATATATATATATATATATATATATTGCCATCATACTTGATTATCTGACTACTCATTTCTCGTCGTGCAGGTGTGGTTCAGAGAGGGAATCTATCATCAAAATCCTGAGGGCTCTTTGTGGGAGGAGGTGCCTCTCCCTGGGGAGGTAGTCCAGATCAGCTGTGGCCCAGGGGACCTGGTGTGGGCGGTGCTGTGGGAGGGGCAGCTCATTGTCAGGGAAGGCATTGGCCGAGATTGTCCCAAAGGTACACAAGCTTGTTGGTGGGAGAAAGATGTGTTGTGTGTATGTATGTGTGTGTTCATCCTCTTTGTGGAAGGTGATGTTGTTCTTTTGAATACCAGGTTCCTCCTGGGTGGTGGTGGACTCTCCCAGTCCTGATGTAGGAGCCACACATGTAGCTGTGGGAGTCAATGTCGTTTGGGTTTTGACCAAAGACAACAAAGTAAGAAAATTCTCTTTTGATTATAATCCTAATTAAGTACTATATATAAATATATCTATATATATATATATATATAGCCCTCGATGGTTAGCAGGCAGTGTATGTGATGGTGATATGCTGTGTGTGTGACTTTAACTGCAAAGCACTCTGAGTCGTCAATAAGACTGAAATAATGCTCAGTAGATACAGTGTCATTACCATTTGGAGTAGATTTATTTCTCCAATATCATATGCAAAACAAAAAAACTGCATTAGTAAAGAGGAACAGGCTGGTATACGATTACACTATTGTTTTTTAGCTAAAGAGCACTTTTCTCTTCATTCTCCTGTTTCTTCAGGTGTGGTTCAGACGTGGCGTGAACTCTCACAACCCATGTGGCTCAGGCTGGATCAGCATGGTTGGAGAAATGATCATGATCAACGTAGGACTCAATGACCAGGTGACTTTCTATCATATCCTGCGCACTACTGTTTGGAAGTAACATATTCAGCACCTTCTACCTTCTGGGTGCTTTAGCATTATGATGTCAAGTCATAGGATTTGGACACATTCATGACAACCTGTTTCTGTTGTGTGTAGGTGTGGGGTATCAGTTGTGAGGACCGGGCAGTGCATTTCAGACAGGGTGTGACCTCCAGTGAACTGAGTGGGAAAACCTGGAAGGTTATCAGTGTTCCCCGAGATGGAGATCGATCCCACTCCAGTGCCAGTGCGAACAGCTTGCAGAGGTGGAGAGGCCTCAGACACACACACACACACGCACACACACACACACACACACACACACACACACACACACACACACACACACACACACACATAATAATAAGCTTTCAGTTTAATACAATGACTTTTACTATAATTCAAATTCCATACAGGCTTTAACTGAAACATGCAGGAAACAGGTTCAACTAGTTGGAGATCAGTCTACATACATGCAACATTAAAGTATTTTCGGGAAAATGCTAATAAATAAATTCAGTTTCTCTCTTTATTCATCCCGTAGTGCTGGATGTTACTTCTGTGGTGAGGTGCGTGCTCAGTCTGTAGCGAGTGATGTGGAATCAGACACAGAGAAAGGATCTACAGATGGAGCCACTGGATTTGTCACATCTGACCCCCCCGAGTCAATTGATGCCTCTTCAGACCACACCTCTGACCAGCCCTCTGACACCCCCAAACCCTGCATCCCCAAAGTCACCAGTGACAGCTTCATCTCTGAACTCGTCTCTGATCGAGAGCCCGCAAGGACCTTAAGAGATGTTGCATCTGCCGCTCCTGCAGTTCTGGAAGAGGAGAACATCTCTGGAGAAGGAGAGCTCAAAGCTCTCTGTGCTGGAGCAGCTGTTATCCCGAGTCAGTCTAGAGGTCCTCTCGACCCCCAGTGGAGTAACGTGGACCTGGAGGAGACGCAGGTCCAGCAGGCCCAGACTGGAGCAGTGCTGGAATCCTCGGACACTTGCAGCTTGTCCTCTGTGGCTACATACACCCTTGCCATTGAGGACCCCTATGGGGTAGATGAGCACCCCCTGTGGGCGTGGATCAGTGGAGGAGGCTGCTCTGTGGACAGTCACTCCCAACTCAACTGGTTTAACTGCCCTATGAATTCTTCAGGTGAGTTTAGTAAGATAGCTGATAGGGATGTACATTTTGAATTTTTTCTCCCTGATAATAGACCCTCTTTAACAGATTATTAACCATTTTTAAGAATAGAAATGATGCAACATGTGTGATGTACTACCTCAGCAGGCAGTGTTGTCCACATTTCCATTTCATGTCTGTAGGAAAACTTTGGTGCCATTAGAGTTATGATAGTTATAAGTTAAGATTTAGTTTCCTTTATGTTTGTCTGTTATTGATTTCTTTTACTGCTGTTCTTCCTCCAGCTTTGGTTCAGTCAATCCAGTCCATGAGTCTGTCTGTAACTCCAGCTCAGACGGCTACCTGGAAGAGACAAATCTTTGAGCAACTAAGTGAGAGGACCAAGAGAGAGATGGACAATTTCAGACATTATGAACAAGCCATAGAACAGGTACAGGTGCACGTGTTCCTGCCCAACTGCAGGAACGTCTCCTTTTTTCCTTATTTCTGTCACATTCAATTTATCCATTAATTTGTCTTAACATTCACCTGCCTTTACAGTCTGTGTGGGTGAAGAAGGGAACCATGCAGTGGTGGAGAGACTGGAAGCCACACAAGTGGATAGATATCCATTTTGCCTTAGAGCAGTTCTCAGGACCAGAGGGAAACAAGGACGGAATCATCTTCATCTATTACAACTTCTATGAGGAGAAGAAGGTGTGTGCGTGTGTCTGTGCATACAGAACACTTGACAGTCTTATGTGCCTTCCAGATAGAAAATGTTTTTTTTGTCACAATGCTTAAACATAACACAATAGACTTGCTCTGAATACAGAATGAGTCATTCAATGAACAAGTGCGCTCTTCCTCTCTTTCAACCATTCCCTCTTATGTCTCTCTTCCTCTATTTATTTTCTGTTACTTTCTCTCTGCTTTTTTCATTTCCTCCCTCTTTGCCGTCCCTCTCTTCAGTACCTGCATGCCTTCATTAACGAGATCACCATCCTGGTTCCTGTGCTAAATGACTCCAAACACACTTTTGCCATCTACACTCCTGAGCGGACCAAACAGAGGTGGCCGATCAGATTGGCAGCATCCACAGAGCTGGAAATGCGCGACTGGGTTTGTCTAACTACTACAAAGCATGTCTGACGCATGAAAGATTTTAGAACGAAATTGTTTCATCTAAATCATCACTCATCCACTGAAGTAACAGTATTACATTATTGAATACAGATCAGTATAATGTCATAGATTTTACTACTCTTGGTGATCAAAGTAAAAAAGATGAATTATAGATGGTAAATTATTGGTTCTCATGTGATTCTACATTTTCCTTTTTTTCTTTCCCCTCCGTCTACCTCTACCTCCCTCCCCCGAGTTCAGCTGGCATTGCTGAGTGTGTCATCCTGCGACTCCAGGAGAATCCAGGGTCCTCCCTCCAAACACGCCATCTGGTCCATCACCTGTAAAGGAGACATCTTTGTCAGTGAGCCCTCTCCTGCTCTGGAGGCCATCCCTTACCCCACACCCTGCGACCAGATGTAAGAATAAGCCAGAGAGAGAATATAACAACAAGTTTTGATAGATAAGAAGTTTCCTGTCTCAACCACAACCACTCGTTTACTCTGTCCAGGTTCTGGCGGCAGGTCGGAGGTCACCTGCGCATGGTGGAGTGTAACACTATTGGGATAGTGTGGGGGATTGGCTATGACCACACTGCTTGGGTTCACAGCGGTGGCTACGGAGGGGGCTTCTTCCAGGGACTGGCCAGCAGCACAGATAACATTTACACACAGACTGATGTCAAGAGTGTCTACATCTACGAGAACCAGAGGTGGAACCCAGTCACGGGCTACACCAACAGGTAGACGACTCGCTCCAGATACCTCTGAGATTCAGACATACATATTTAAACCTCTACTATTACCTCATGTTATGTCAAACAAATTCTAACTTTTCTTCTGCAGCTTAAGTGCACAGTTAGTCAAGTGTGTATGCTTTGTTTCAGAGGTTTACCTACAGACCGCTACATGTGGAGTGATGCATCAGGACTACATGAGTGCACAAAAACAAACACTAAGCCTCCCTCTCCGCAGTGGACATGGGTAAAGTACATCTATACACACATACACATTGTCATAGCCACCTTACCATAACTATATCACCCAAAAATTATTTAGGAACAAACGTCCCAGATTAACAGCATTTTATTCCCAAATTTGTCTCCAAGCCAGAGACATGCACACACAAACAAAAACTCAGGGAAATCCCCTGTGTTAATCTGATCCCCACACGTATTTGGTCTTGAATTATCATGGACATGGTGAGTAGTCATAAAAGCTGATGTCTTCACTTTGTCTCACGTTTCTCATCGTTTGTTTTCAGGTTTCTGACTGGGCCATCGACTACAGTGTCTCTGGAGGGGCAGACAGAGAAGGCTGGCAATATGCAGCTGATTTTCCAGCGTAGGTCTCAATCATGCTGCCCTCATAGTCATGACCCAACCTCAACTCTGTTGTTCTTCAATTTGTCCTTCCTCCTCCTCCTCCTTCTCGTCTCTCTCTCTGCAGGTCATATCATGGCTACAAAACCATGAAGGACTTTGTCCGTCGCAGGCGATGGAGCAGGTACAGAAAACAGCAACACTGGAATATTAGTGGGACGAGTGTGACCAGTGCCCTTGACATTTGTTGTGTGTGCGGTTGTGTTTGTTCACAAGTGTCCATTAAGTCAGTGTTGTTAAATATATTTTGCGATAATATATATCTTGTCAATATTACTAGTGAGAATGTAACATGTTAATCACAGATGTTTTTGCTATAGATCATTAAATAGTATTGAATATTTGATTGATATAAAATGGATGTTTTCCTCCTACACAGGAAGTGTAAATTGACCACTACAGGACCCTGGCAAGAAATCCCACCCATCCCACTGAGTGACGTGACCATTCTGCCGTGTGCCACTCAGAGCAGCGTGGACGTGGTGCCTCTCTGGGCCATCAGCAACAAGGGAGACGTGCTTTGCCGGCTGGGAGTCACTGCACTGACGCCTGCTGTGAGTCACATTGATAAATTAGTAAACTTCCGCTGCCATTTTGATTTGCTCACCACGACCGCACCATACAACATTGCAGATTATCACAGTGCCCATCATTTGTACAGTGCAAGAGATCTTTATCTTGATGCACTTGGGTCATAAAGAACTTTGATAAGGGACTTTTTTCATGTCTAATTCATGTTGATAAGTCATTAAATATGGACGATAAAGTTTTACTACAGCGTAGCAGCAACAGAAATAATTTATAATAAGTGTTTGAGCAGTTATTCTTCTTCTTGATCTCACAGGGATCCTCATGGCTCCACGTGGGAACCGACCAGCCTTTCAAGTCCATTACCATTGGTGCTGTCAGCCAAGTTTGGGCCATTGCAAAGGACGGTTCTGCTTTCTATAGAGGATCAGTGTCTACTCAGAGTCCTGCAGGTCAGTGGGATGAACTGTTTTTTATTCTGCCTGGAAGAGGAAAGATCTCATTCATGGTCTTGTCAACACAGAATCAATAACGTTGAGATTTTGGGGGAAATAAAACAGATGTGGCTTTCATTTGTGTGTGTTGTGTCTCCCTCTGCAGGAGACTGTTGGTTCCACATCCCCTCCCCAGCCAAACAGAAGCTGAAGCAGGTCTCTGTTGGAAGGACATCAGTCCACGCTGTGGATGAAAATGGTGAGTTTCACCTGAAATCCATACATTTTAAAAAGTCATGTTTTTAAGAGACATTGTGTTTCTTGTTAGACTGTTACTGATCATGTTTGATGTGGTTCTTTCCCATGAAGGTAACTTGTGGTACAGGCAGGGTGTGACTCCCAGCTACCCTCAGGGCTCCTCCTGGGAGCACATCTCTAATAATGTACGCAAAGTCTCTGTAGGGCCCCTGGACCAGGTGGGTCTTTATTCCACTTGTGATTGCATCTCTCTTCCCCTCTCTATATGCAAATAATCATGCACGTCGTATGGATGGATTTTAAGCACAGGATAGATTTGAAGTCTGAACAGGATCTCCTATTGTCAGTGGTGTGAACATGTAAACATGAACTTGTTGTGGGCAGAGTAAGGATGATCCGTTTTCTGGTTTTTGAAGTTAGAATTTTACAGTTACCCTTCTACTATTTGAAGCTGGCAACATGTGAAACCTATGTAGCTTTAGTTATTGATTAACAGAATAATTTGTAATGTATAAAAAGGTATTTCTGTAAATAATTGGTTTGTTGTGTGGGTGAAGGTGTGGATCATAGCAGACAAGGTGCAGGGCAGCCACAGTCTGAGCTGTGGGACAGTGTGCCATCGACTCGGGGTACAACCCATGGACCCTAAAGGACAGTCGTGGGACTACGGCATTGGGGTAAGTCATCAGGGAAAATAAACTCTGTGAGATTCATCAAGGCTCTGTCTGTGTGGCCACTCTCTGAATTACATTTTTAACTTCAATTTGCAATCAGATATTCTTTACCTACCACATTTATTAAATAAAAACAATAAAATGGTTATCGTGTGTTTCACTGTGGTAAGGACATGACTTAAAATGTGTTAAAAGTGTTAAAAGACAGATTGTTTTCGCCCTCTCTCCTGTCCGTCTTTTAGGGTGGATGGGATCACATCACAGTGAGAGGGAACACCCTGGAGCAGCCACGTATCTGTCTTCCCTCTCTAACAGGCGTGCCCTCCCCTGCCCCTCAGAGCCCTCTCCTGGTCAGCAGCGTGGAGGTCAACGGCAATGCTGTTGGATGTGAAATGCAGACATAAACTCTGAGGTGCACACAAACTGTACGTAGAAATCCTAAACCATATCTTCTGTGTAGTAAATTTTTGTTCAAACCCACTATTTAATTCTGAAGTAGCACCAGTGACAGTTCAACCCCCAGAGAACAGCCTTCAGTCTTCAAGTCACATGAGTCAGTGAAGCAGAAAGTTTAAATTTCTGAGTGCCCTCTGATAACTGCAGACGTCCTTCAGTCCTGGATGTTCATTGTATAAAGCGTTCATGTCCTATGTACATTTCTGTGTAATTTGTTTGACCACTGCTTGTGTTTTGTCTCTGACGCTGAACTCAATGGTCTTAACACGTTTATATTCTTATTTATTCATCAGGATGAGATGTTTGTGTGTGTGGAAGGGCGAGGCTTTTAAAAATATATTTTAGAAGGTCATATAGAAATGTATACGGAAACATTAGTGTGCATTAATTACAGTTGGTATTGAACTAATAGCTCAAGGGCTGGTGTTGTGTACAAAGTAAAAAAGAAACGTGCTTCATCATAGTCTGCAGGCAACAGGTTAGTAACACAATGTAAAACAGAGTCTGATTACTGTGAAATAGAAGGGGGGACGATGTGCGATTCAGGCTGCTGGAACTTCATTCCACTGTGTGTGTGTCCCCACAGGTTTCTGAAGGGACTTTGTGTAGTCTACATTTAGGGTAACTGCATGTCACAATCCTGCTTGTTTGGCCAGAAGAAACCACCATAGCTCAGTAAGACAACCTGAGCAACCAGTAAAAGCAGTTTATGAATCTCTTTTAATAGTAAAAGGCACATACTAGAAGAAAGAGTCTAATAACTATTAACTATTTTGACTTTCTACTTGAAAGTTTTACCTATTGTTCTCAGTAGAGTTGAAGAACTTCTAGGAGCCTGCATGTAGCAGCTGTAATAAGATCTGCAGTGGCTTAATTTACCTGTGGTGGTTGCTGATTGGCTTGTACAGCTGACTTGTCCGTTAGCCCGGTGAAAGAGTGGGATATGGGCCGAGGAAGATGTTTTGGAGCAGATTCGGTTAAGAGATCTTCAGGCATATTAAGGGGGACCGATGGGGTTTGGCGGAAGTACGAGTGCCATACTACTTTTGACAATGATTTAAATGTTATTTTCTAAAACAACAAAAAAAATGATGTGACTACTTTGTTGCTGTCATGGAGTAAGTGCAATGTTAGGCGTTGTAAATAAGGGAAAACACGTAGATTACTTGTATAAGTCTTGTGGTTGATTTGCTCAAACTGAACCTTCCTCTTTCTCAGGGGTTTCCACTTTCATGTCGTCTGCTTTTGTAGTCAAATGACTGAGCAGTGACAGAAACAATCATCAGAAAACACTATATTTTTTTTATAAATATGTAAGATATTAGTGATATACAGTGGGTGAAGTGGGTGTTGCAATGGTACTATCTAAAGCTGGTATAGTGTTTCATTTAAATAGTTTTCCATAAAGAAATATTCATAAACCACACACTGATGAGTCGCTTCCTATGTTCACCCAAGTAGTAAGTGGATGTCTAAATATCATGCAGCTGAATGTTAATATTGTATTATCTGAGAATATCCGTTACTCCAGTGAGCGACATGTGGGCTACATTTCTCGGGTGTTGTGCATGGTCAAAATAACAGTTCTTGTCAATAAATAAATGTGTTTATTGAACTTGTCAAATATCTTCTCCTCTCCTGCATTTTTTCACCACAAAGTCCTGCCTCGACACACAGAAAGTCAAATATACACTGAAAACATCATCTCTGCCTCAAAGCGACGCTACAACCCGCAAGACGAGTACATCGAGTTCTCAAATTTGTGGTAGGTCGTCATCGTGAGCAAATGAACAAACAGCTTTTTTTTTCCTTCTCGCTTCAGTATTTCAATATTTAGGAGCTGCTGCTTGCATTTCTCTTCTGCCTGGACGTGACAGTTATGACCTGAGGCTACACTCAGCAGCTTTCTCAACAGAAAACACAAAAAGATCACAAGATAACACAAAAAGAGAACAGGTCCCTGCCTCAGCTCAAACCATAGAGAGTGAGTAATTTAAAAAAAGACAGAATGGTGTAAGGTTAGCCCTTCCTTTCTGAGCACAATAAGAAATGAGTCTGTATGGTCCATCTGGTCAGCCTTTGTGTCTGCCAGGTGAATGGTCCTCAAGAGTTTCCATGTTTTGCAACTTCTAGACAGATCACTTCCTGTTGTGAGTTTGCTGTGGCATGTCTATGATGTGGAACAGCTCCTCTTCCTTTAGAACACATTGTTTCTGAGCAGATCTCAGAGCAGCGTTGCCCTCTTGCTTGCCCCACCTGGCCTCCCACCCACTCTCAGTAACTGTTAGCTGCGTTGGCTGAAGCTGTGCATGTGGGTGAGGTACTGGGTGAGATCATCCTCCCCGTCCTCCTCCAAATGCTGCTGGTAGCACTGGAGCAGCTTAGCGGTGCTGGCCTCTGATGGGACCCCACCAGTGGGCAGGCAGGCCCCTGACATGTCCACGACGATGGTGGTGAGAGCTTTGATGTAATTCTTTGCCAGGGTCAGTGTCTCGATCTTGGACAGCTTCTTGTCGGTCTTGACGTGGGGGATGGCCTCTTGCAGCGCTTGGAAGGCGTTGTTGAGTTTGTGCATGCGCTGGCGCTCCCGCTCGTTGCTCTCCAGGCGGCGGAGGCTGCGTTCTTTGGTGCTGGAGGAGTGCTGCCTCCGCCGCCGCCCTTTGCCAGCTCCTCCCTGGCGGTTCCTGCCCCCACTCCTCAGCGACCCCCTCCAGGAGCCGTTGATCCGCACTGATGCCTCTGAGCCCTCCTGCTCGCTGGAGCCGGGTTCTGGTTCTGTGTCCGGCTCTAGTTCTGGCTCCGGGTCAGACCAGGTCCTGCTGGATCGTTTTACAGCCTTCCCTTTGGACTTCATCCTGCTGCCTCCTTCACCTCGCTCTCTCTGTCTTTCTCTCTCTCTCTGGCAGATCTCACAGCTTCAACAGGCCTGGAAGAAAATGAAGAAACGGCTCTAAATGTGTTTAAATTTAAAAGATGAAGTCTTTGCACAGAGTTTAACCTCAGTTGGCCTGTAACCCCCCAATTACTCTCTAGGCCTCTCTCCAACTCATAGAGCCATGCATCCTGTTGTATCTAATCGGCCTCTTGCAGTGTGAAAACTCCATGATGTTGGCCTGTTAATCTACGCCTCTCTTATCCCCTCAGTCCTGAGATAATGTCCATGTCAAGGTCACAAAAACACGGAGCAGCCATGCAGGCTGAGCAGCAGCAGCAGCAGCAGCAGTCGGTCAAATTCACCTCTGCTGCTCTTGAACTTCACTTGAACCAGTAAATGGTTTGACTTGAAACTGGAGCCATTACAGGACTAAATAAACATCCTGACGTAAAAGTTTATTACACGTCTAAATGTGCCACAGCTCTGGATTCCCAGGGAATTGGCAATAAAACAATATCAATAAATATAAATGTTATCATTATCACAAAAGTCCCATCATATCGATGAGTTGATAACACATTGTGTGAGTACAATGAGGAGGAATAACACATGAGTCATCTACTTCAGATTCATTAGGTGGTTTTCATTCTCTTTCGTTAAAGATGAGTTAAAAACAACAAAAATCTCTCTTCAAACTTACAGGAAATGCACGCCTCCTTTTTCTTCTCTCTTCTTTTTGTTGTTCTTACATCTACGTCTGCAGAACAGAATGGACTTCAAAACACAATGTGTGGAAACACGGGCACCTTTAAGAACACAAAGGTCTCAGATCTTGATGATGCCATGTAACCTAATACTTCACTTCAATATTTATTTTAGTCATTTCATTAAGACTTTTAGGACCTTGTCTGTTTTTGTAAATTGAGAGAAAAAAGGTTTTTAAATATTGATATCGTCTCATATCAACATTTTTATCTCAGTTCAATGTTTGCATATCATCCACCCCTACTTAAATCTATATGTTTTAAGGATGCTGATATTTAAATGTAAAGTTCTATTACACAAATGAGTGCACACGATGAAAAAAACTCCCACATCATCCATTCAAGAGTTTTTCCTCCTCACTCTTTATCTCCCTAACCCACGTTTTATCCCCACAACGGTTATATATCTATATCTATATATCTATAGATATAGATATAGATATATACAGTATATAGATAAACAGGCTGCAGTGGAATAGAAACAAAGGACGTGAATCAACCACCATGGCTGAATGTGTGGTCAAAAGAAAAGTCTTACCTTGAAAGTTGCACTAACTTTCCTCCTCCTGAGTGTTGAGAGCGTCACCGCACACACTCCATGCAGGCAGAGGGAGAGCAGAAGCGCGTGGCCGAGCCGCACACTCCCGCAGGTCACCGTCACATGTGATCCACCTGCAGCTGACTGAGGTACACGTCGCGCTGCTCAGCCAATCAGAGGAGGCGGTGCAGCCCCCAGCTTGATGCCCAGATGTTCCAACGGCCTCCTCCTCCTCCTCCTCCCCCTCCTCCTCCTCCTCCCCCTCCTCCTCCTCCTCCCCCTCCTCCTCCTCCTCCCCCTCCCCCTGCTGCTGGACACGGTCTCAGCATCACAGGAAACTGCACTAACTCCTGTTCAGATCTGTTTTAACCGCAGGAGCTGGAGTGCTGCAGATCATCGGCTTGGACAGAGTGAAAGTACCAGAAGTACACTGTAAAAAAAGAATATGTTCCAAATAATAATGCATTCAAATTCTCTACTTGTAGATTAAGCCACACCACATCACCTCATCCTGGAACATGATTTGCGCCAGGTTTTTAATTTCAACAGTGATGAAGACAACTCCCATGATCCCATGCTGCTACACGACATCCTCAAACTAGAACTGTTACTGTTTTAATTGAGACCCATAGTGACCAAAGTAATATATTGTATTTTAGGTAGCCTATTGTTACATATGTTGTAATAACATCAATGTTTTTTTATATTTCTAGTAGCACTTAAAGGTTCAGTGTGTTTGATTTATCTAGAGGTGAAGTTGCATGTTGCAGCTGAATACTCCTCATCTCACCCTCCTCTTCCAAACATGAAGGATAACCTGTGGTAGCTTCAGTTGTCATGAAAACTCAAAAAGTTTTTAGTTTGTCCAGTTTGGACAACAGTAAAGAAACATGGCAGCCTCCACAGAGAGGACCCCGCTCCATGTAAATATAAAGTTTTTAAAATGTCTGCCAAAAAAATCCCTGTCACCTAAATCTTACACACTGAACCTTTAAGTGTCATTGGTAGTGGAGCTAAAAATTAAAATAGACCAATGTAGAAAGTGGTGGAACAGGTATCCAAATCATTTACTTAGACAAATTACACTGTAACACAAACACTATTACAAGTATGAGTCTTGCATTTAAAACTACTGGAGTAAAGAAGTAGGCCATAAGCCACACATTGTACTCAAAGTATTAAAAGTTAAAATTACTCATTGTACACAATGGATCTAGTCTTATTCTTAAAGGTAGAGTGTGTAGAATTTAGTGACATCTAGTGGTGAAATGCATTTGGCAGATGAATACCCCTCACCTCACTCTCCCCTTCCAAACATGACAGAGAACCTGTGGAAGCCTTCAGATGTCATAAAAACTCAAAACATGGCAGCCCCGTAGAGAGGACTCCCTTCGGTGTATTTAAA